AAACAAACATGCCCGCACCAAGACCCCAGCAGAGGAATCCTGTTGAAAGGGAACTCCCCAAAAATAGAGCCTCGAAGACAGTTATCCGAGGGTCTGCAGCATGAAGTCTCGGGAGCTCTGAGCCGCGATCTTTTTCAGAATCTCGGAACCTCGCAGGGGGAGGGCACATGCTTGTCCTTCTTGCTACTGACACCTCTGGCATCTTGTGCTCGTGGTTGGTTTGCGGGACCCATGGGCCACGCCACACAACGAAACCTGGCCTGGCAGGCTTGGAAGAAGAAACCGGGCCAGCCGCCGAATCCTGGGTCGGGAGTCCAGCGAACCGGCTGTCCCGTTCTCGAAGCAAAAAGACTCTGCCAGGCGACTGTCCCGACAAGTCATCGAGCAGATCCTCACTTGGCAGGGGCTTGGTGTGTGGCGTCCAGGCTCTGCCTAGCGTCTGGCAGTCCTCGTAGGTGACCCAAGCAACCTGGCTCCGAAAGCACCACGAACGGCTCACGTTGCAAGACAGCAGAAAGCGCAGCTAGAGTATGGGCATCAGCGCACGGCTGTGAGAACCTCCGGCCTGGCCTGCGGATCCGACCAGCAGCACTTGTACCAGGAAAGGATGTGGTACCACACGTCCTGGCTCGATTTGCCGTGCAAGTTCATGAAAAACCACATGATGCTTGCACACCGCGGTCGTTCGCGTTGACTCGCGCATAGAAGGCCGAGGCATAAAGGCCCACTGGAATTTCATTGGGCTTCAGGCCTGTGACAGGTGCGAGAAGCATCCAAAGTGTGTGGCACGAACCTTTGTGCCTGCCAGCCGTGCCCATGTCCCATTGCAGAACAGGCGGTGCTGTGCAAAGAGCACCTCGAGGCACAGAAGGATGCAGGGAGACACGTCCAATGCATAAGTGCTGGTTTATGCCTCAAGTGACTTGGGCAGGGGCTTGTTGTGGGTCTCTCATCAGCACGACATATCTGACATTGGCCACGGCAGCGGCGTGCACGTGGTGGGACTTGAGAATCCGGGGTTCGAGCTCCAGTCCCTCTTGGGCAGCAAGCATATCTGGGCCTTTCTTGGACGCCAGGACATCGTACCAGGTGACCACCTGATTCAGGTCCTCAAAGTCCAGTGAGCCATCCGCGCGAAGGCCGTGCAGAATGTGACTTAGCCACGTGGTGCCGCTGCCCATGCTCCCTGCGATCAGAACGTCCGATGGCTTGGACACGAAGCCCATAGATTCCTTCCAGGGGAAAAGCTGTTGGAAAGCCTTCGAGGTAAACTTCTGCAGCTTCTTGACTACGCCGTTTCCCAACTTCTGAAGGTTGCTTTCGGACATGTGCGCCACGATCTCCATCTCCCGAGGGCCTCCGGAGCCTCGTGACACCTCAAATGGGTTGACGATGATGATGCACACCGCCACCACGAGCAAAAAGCAAAGTACCGCACCAATTCGCCAGCGGCGAGCGGAGTCGTCCGAGATGATTTGAGGGGGCTCGTAGTCCGGCGAATACTCCCGCTGTATCCTCTCCAGGACTTCGCTGAGCACCTGGGTTGCCAGCTGGTCGCCTTTGATATCCAGCCTCCCATGACGCAGTGCATTGCTCACTGAGAGCGTGCCCTTCCCCAGCGCCGCTAAGTCGGCATCCAGGATGTTGAAGGTAACATCAGCTCGAGGGTCCACGCCTTGCTGCAAAGAACCCGAGCCATGCCTCAGGTCCAAGGTGAAGTTTCCCTGCGGCCCACCATCGCGAAGGTTGAGTTGGTAGACGAACCCGGCCTGACGAACAAGGGATGCACCCTTCTCCTGGATAGCACGGCGGGTCTGATCAATCAGGGGCTGGCACAAGAGGCCGCTTGCCTGAGCCATGATCGCCCTCGAAGCTAAAACCTGATTTGGCGTTGAAAGTATACTCTGAATTTTCCGCTTGTGGCCGGCAACTTTTACAATGAAGCGGTTCTAGATTCTAGACATAATTCCTGACCACCTCAGCCCACACGTCCTAGATGCTCGGGGGGGAAATGACCCCTGCACCTACCTTGGTCCGGAGCAAACACCGGCAACACCTTGAGCCAAGCAGACATCGCTTTCGTGTTGCTCTGTAATTTTAACATTGAGGTAACATTGACGTGTAGCAAACTGCCAATATAGTACCTCTTGGTTGCTAGCCAAGCTGCAGCAAGCAGCAACATGCAACAGTAGCTGGGACAGTACTAGAATCGCCCGCTGCCGTCACACCCCTCAGAAATGGCCTAGCAACGCAGAGTGAGCTAATTGCAGTACCCCTTCTCCTTGTACGGCATGAAAGCTTCTTGTCTGCACGGCGGAGGCCTGGCAAATCGAACAGATACAAGCGCTTGAACGCACGATTGCCTGCACGACCGTCCCGGCCAGGAGGATGCAGATCACCCGAGACTCCCACATATAAGCGGCTCCCCGGATGCGAGGTGAAGGGCGACTCGGCCCTCAGAATCTCGCGCCCGAACATCAAAGCAACCATCCGCTCCACACATTTTATTTGCAGCCTCCACTAGCTGAGAAAAATGAAGATGCACACATACATTGACATGAGTGCACACACGCGCAATCTACTTGTATCTACTAGACAGCTGCTCGAAGCGGGTGCAGTGCATCAGCAATCAACTCGGTGCGGATCTTCGACAGTAACGCTGCAGCAGTCAAGGCCCAAGCTCCGTGGCAAATCCAGTCCCTTAGAGTTCGAGTGTGGGGCAGTTGCGGCTTCCCGGCAAACCCTAAAGAACAGAGCTGAAGAACATACTCAACCTACTAAGCCGAAACATCGCTGGATATCGCTAGGTAGAGTTCCCGGAGTTGACAGCAACCTCCGTCGTTTAAGGCCCCGGATGCTCCGTGGATTTGTGTCTTTTGCACAGCCCGAGCTCCCGGCGAGGCTGAATGCTCGCTCGAGGGCTGAGCTCACCTAGAGTGTCAAAAAGCTTCTCGTGCATAGCAACTGTCTAGCACGACTCATCCAACGTTCAGTGTCTGCTTCGGCTGAAGCCTGCACCCAACATCAAAGGCTCAGGGTTTGGAAGGGGGGTTTTCGGAACGGCTAGCGGCCAGCACACGCTGACACTGAGACTGGATGGTGCGCAGGGGATGCGAAGGGATTCTGCACAGGCTTCGAGTGGTCTCCCACACACTGATTGCTGTATCTACGTTTTGTACTGTTCTCTTCCTGTACCGCTTCAAACATGTCGTCACTCTAGTTAGTGTTGCATTTTATCACTTTGTTTGGTCTCTATGTCTGGCCGAGTTTGGCCGTGCGCACTCATTCAGATGCTCCTTCGTGGTGCGCACCTACAATCACCTACATCTGCGAACACGCCGATGTTGATGTGGAAATCGCTGTGTTTGCTTGCGTGTGTACGTGAATTTTGGGGAACCTGATATACTTCTACTCTTAATGCGGCACCTTATAATTGATTGAGAACCCAAGAGACGCTAATTTGCGCGACGCAATAATTCTACACGGCGCAAAGTATTGCATCAAGATTCAAAGCCCTCTTTCAGATTCATGTGTCCTGTCAATGGTGTATTGAGCAAGGTCCCTCTGTCTCTCTTCGCCACCCATTTTGCTGAGCCCATCGCTGACGCAGATCGAGGTCTTGCTGGTCTACGAGGTCCTGCAACCAGTGCACGACTTGGAGATGTACCAGTGCAGCAATGCAAACTCGCTGCAGCCGTCCTTCAGCAGCAGGCCCGCGGACGGTTTTTCCCGGCCTCTGGAACTCTAGGAATGAGCCGTGCAACGGTCTTATGTCAGGGTCTTGTACTGGTCTCACTTGTGGTGGCTGCGAGGCTCGCGCATGCCCTTCGGCATGGACTCTCTTCTCTATATCTGCCCCTGATAACTAAGCGAGGGTCCGCCCCTGCTGCACATACCTTTTCGCCCTGAGCTAAAACCCAGGCCTGGATTTCGGCCTCAAGCTTGGATAAGGCCTGGAAAATCAATGCCAAGACGAGAGGCGAGAGGACTTTCAAAAGCGCATTGCTCTGAAACTCAAGGCCTCGGTGCAAACGAGCTCATAGAGGACCGTGAAGCCTGGACAAGATTCGGTGGGGTGTGGTGGGGTCTACGGCCAAGGAAACTTCCGAATCCGAAATCTAGGGCTGATCCCAACCGCGCCTCCCTTTAAAGCTCTAGGAGCCCTGCTTGTGCCTGGCTGTAGCTGCTGCATCGACCTGCTGCATGGTGCTATGTCAATGTCACTCCAATCGCTTTTAACCTCTCAAACCTTTCCTGCAGAATCGGAGAGTGTGCAGCAACTCGACGGAAAATGCCGCTTGACCAAAACAACATAGCTTATGCGAAGTCGCTAAGCTTCCCCGCTCTGGCCCACATGTCTGTTTTGCTCGCTTGAGCCAGTGAAGGTGCATGGTCAAGTGTCCGTGCAAAAGCTGTTGCCTTCAGGGACTTAACAGTCTGAACATGTCTGAAGCTCTGCTTTCACAGCTTACTGGAGACCACTTGTCAACGTAATCGCCTGATGTACAGAAGCTGAATGCAATCTCTAGGGAGCTCGGCAATGCTCGGTACATCGGGATGTGTGCTCCAAGATACACGAAGACTATGCAGTACACGTGTTACGACTTTGCTTGCAGTGCCGGCCTGGCTCGCTGTAAGCCATTGCCGATGCAGGGCAAGAAGGGTACATCAAGCACGCTGTAGCACGAGACTTCATTCCTATTATGTACTTGTTGTACTTTCTGCGCCTGCCTCACTACCTAATTACTTTCGACTTCGACACAAGACTGGAGCCAAGCTGGATGTGATTTGAACCACATCGACTGGGGTATCTGAGCAAATGGCACATTGCGGACTGGAGGACGAGCTCAGGACATTTTCGCACCGGGCTCTCTTGTCACTGCGAGGCCTAGACGACCTAGCTGGATAAGCCAAGAAAGCCAAGTAAGCTGGTATCGACAAGCAACATTAACACCAGAGGTTCGATCCGGAGTCGACCTCCGTGGGCACAGCTCTCCGCTCTAGTTGAGCAGACGCTGCGCTATGCCAGTCCTCCAGCCCCTTGCCGTGCGTACCTCCGTCTCGCCGGCGCGCTGCCCGACTTTCATCGGCACCCACAAAAGAGCGCGGTAGCCACTGGCATTGGCCACTTGCTCGTATTCAATGCGAAGGATGGCCCAGAATGTCCGACGAAAAATTTCTGCCACCGTCATGAAGCAATGCAGTATTTCGCGCGCAACAATGTCGGTGGTTAGAATTGTCACGGGCATCAGGGTCAGCACCCATGTTAGCCGCAAGAGGATGTCCATCATGATAGCAATGTAATAAACCCTTCGCGGAAAGTGCCGCGAAGGCTGGCTGTTCTGCGTTTGTCTCATTAGGTTGAGCTCTACGGCAGACCCTTGCCAAGACTGCGGTGACTCGCCCATATAGCTGTCATGCCTGCCTCTGGGAGACAGAATTATCCCTCCATCGCCGTGCCCATTCAAGCGGCCCAAGAAGATTTCTTCGACTCCAAGGCCCCAATCCATCGTGACATCCCAGATGGCAGCGTAACAGGTGGCGACAGCCGAGGCCAGAATGACGATCCACTTCGGGTATCCCGGCCTGCTGAGCACTACCACAAGCAGGCTTGCAGCATACTTGCCAAGGTTCAAGAGGTGGCGACGCTGCCCAGTGTCGTAATACCGGCGCGCACACTGCAGCAGCCGGAACCAGAAAGGAGCCCCTCCTATGAGTGGCTGCACATAGGAGGCCTCCCAAGATGGACAGGTGCTGCCGTTCCGGATGAAGCGCTCCATCGAGGACTGCAGCTGTGGATGATGGGAGCCTCAGCGAATCTCAGCGACTCAGACATCGCGGAGTGACCCCCTGAAGGCTACCTGGACCGCCTGGACCTAGACGCAAAAAGAAGGCGTCGCCCGTGGATGGATCCAAGCCACTCAGGTAACAGATTGCAGGCGGCACGTCCTGGATTGCACAGGAATGTCTGCTGGTGTCCCGCAGAGCAAGCTGCAACGAGTTTTAAGAAGTACGCTCTCCCTTGGCAAGCGGTTGCAGTCCCGCAGCGGCTTCGCTAGACTTGTGAGCACATCACCTCGGTCTTCAGGCACGTCGACATTCAAAGTTCCTCTTTTCAGCCAGCCGGCATGCCTCCCACGTGTCTCAAAAGCCCACCCCAAGGAGCAGCCCAGGACCTAGGTCTCCGAGGTGCAGGCCGATCATGTTGTCACAGAAGCTGACAGCGTAGAGTGGAGCCTCATGCACTGGTCCGAGCAAGCGCCGTCTGTAAACCATGAAGTGAAGCAGGTGCGGAGAGTCAGTTTCTGGCCACCAGGCAGAGCTACAGCACCAAATGCATGCTGTAGAAGTCGGCGATCATCTGAGATACTTGCCAAGCATGTTCTGCCAACACCACGTATAAGCTGTGCCTGCACAGGATCACGCGACAACTACCGTTGCCTGGTCCCCTCACATCCCTCGCGTGAAACAACATTAAGGCATGGGGCCTTGTACCGAAACCGGCATATGGACGAGGGCTGCACCAAGAGGATGAAAGAAATGCCTGGTCAGCTCGCTCAGCTCGCTGCTCTGCTGCCAAGCTTTGATTCTGCAGTGAGGCTTTCGTCCTTGCCTGCAAGAACGACGGGATAGAGGACATAGTGCCACGAGGCACGCTCTAGCCTGGTCGATGACGACCAAACCTCACTGACTCAGAGCGCAGAGAGCGTGACAGCGAACGTCATCGCCCACTGCAGACCCCTGTGCTGGTAGCGCTCATCTCTTTTCACGAGGATGCACCATCAGCTTTCCCAGCATTTTGCCAGGTGCACGAGGTTGATTCTTTGATCAACGCCATGCAAAGCGGAATACGATGCACCCTCTCAGCTTTTCAGGTCACGTTGCGCATGTCGATGTGACACAGCGTCAGCCTCGGCCAAACAGGAAATGCAGCTCGAAGGAGGTGCCGAGATGCCCGAACCCCTGAAGCTCTCAAGAGGCTGTCGAAGGCAACATCCTGGCCGTTGCCATGCTGCTGGTGCGATCTGGAGCCGCCCAACCCCAAACTCCAAGCAAAATGGCCCCAGGCCTTGAGGGCCCAAGACAAGACGTCTCCGGCTCTAGCCCACGACACTAGAAGCTTCCTCAAGGTTAGAAACGGTTAGAATGCTGAAGCTGGGGTCAATGATCTCAACACTCCTAAGACTCGGGATAGTACCAAAGGTTCTCATCATAACTGCATTCCGACAACTAGCGCAGTTCTGCGATAAACGGCAATCAGCCACTCAATGCTGCGAAGTTGGTATCAGTATTGTGCGTCTGCAAGCGCATACTGCATCAGCTAAATCCGAGACTTCTTACAAACATTATATCCTTTATATCCTCATTTACTCAAAGAAGTGCACCCTCTCTGTCGGAACTCTGACGTTTGGGTTTCGCGGCCCACCGAGCAGACGCTCGGGCAGCTCCTCCGGCTGCAGCCCCTGCGGTAGCGGAGGGTCCCAGGAATTGGGTCCTCTTTAGGGGATTTCAGAAACAGCCGCGCGGAGGCCACGAAGAAAGAGAAAGACAGAGACAGAGAAAGAGAGAGCGAGAGAGCAGCGGGGTGAGATAAACCCGAGCAGCAGAGTACCGTCTCATCAAACAGGCGAACTCTATAACTGTACACATGAACCAGCAGATTCGCATCCCATCCCTCCTTCAATTCGTTGTCCCAGATGACTTTCACAAACCGGCGAGGGGCTCCCGATTTGCCAAATTCCCAAATTCCTGGCATTCCAGAGGTGCCTCCAGCAGAACGAACAGTTCCAGGGCTGAAGAGCCATCGTCAAAGAGACCTCGAGTGTTGGACATCCAGCTTTCAACATGCGAACTCGCTGAGTACAGAAAGGAAGTCGCAGGAACGACCGTCTGCCCAAAACCCCGCGTTCCAGGATCCATGCCGGCCGCCATTTTCGATTTCGTGAATGACCGGGTCTACTTGTATTGTAGGACATTCCTCCACACTCCACCTGCTTTCCACTCTTCTATTAATAGGCATATTTCACCCCTAAGTTCCCGGGTACCACCGGAGAAGCTCAGAGTAAAAGCAAAAGCCCCCCGTGCTCGCCTCGTATGCGGCGGCCCATGGAGGAGTCCCCCATGTCTACGGAAGCCTCCAAGAAGTCCTCGGCTTCGGCGGCTGTTGTGGGAAAGTGTGGGCCTCTTGGGCTCTTAGCGAGGCTCCCAGGCTCCACTCTCCCTGAATCATAAAATCGCTCTGAATTGCGACTTTTTGCATCGGAGTGGCCTTCTGCGCAAAGTACGTGATTCCTGGCTCCAGAGGGCGGACCATCCGAGTTCAGAGTTTAAGTCGAGTGACAGAGCGATGTCTGCTAGAGACCAGCGACTGCATTGATTGGCGATGATGGCCGGCTTGCTCCCCACTGCCTGGAACGGATCGACGAAGCCACCCGGGAAAGTTTAACCCAAAACAGCTCCACCTGCTTCAGCATGTAGGAGCCCTCGAGAACTCGCGCTATGAGCTTCAGGCCTCGCTCTTCCAAAAGAGGCAAAAACGCAAAGCATATCACGTTGCGCGCCCTGGGTACCGCACGCTTGTCGCGCTCCGGTGCACTCATCTCTTGCAGGAACCTGCATGAAGTGACCCTCGAGCTTCCAGTGTCAGTATGTGCCAGGGTCACCATGCACTTGCACATTCAACTCGTGTCAAGTGTTCAAAAGCTGTAGGCGTACTGCAAAAATGTAGGAAGTTGCGCGAAACGGACAAGAGGTAGTCTCAATTTCCCTGGGTGCAGTGGCCTCTGAAGGAGTCTGCCCTGCCGTGAGTCCGACCACTCAGCATCCTTTGCAAACTGATGTACGCCCGCTTTGCTGCAGATTGACAAAGTTACCAACACGACGCCCCTTCTGGGCCTGCGGGACCGACCAGCACGCCACCAGTTGCGAGTCCGGCAGGCGGAAGTTCAGGACGAGCAAAAAGGTCGACTTATCTGCGATGGCCGCAGGGTTTCGGTTTGTTTCGGGCTCTGTGGGTTTGCTCTGCAAGGTACCAGGGTTGCGAATGCCGGCCTCGCGGCTGGCTTCTTTGGCTGGAGCTGAAGCATTCCAGATCCTGCTTTGTCAAAAGCAGTGCCCTGCTTCAGCACTTGCTACCACATTTGGACATGCCATGTAGCGTGATGCCACACATGGCTTCAGTCCCAAACAGCAAATTCCTTGCCATGTTCTGATACGCAACTCGGTCCCGGCCACGAAAAATGTCCACGAAACTCAGAGCCAGCATTGGGCTCTCAGTCTGGCATTTCCTGAAAGGGATAGGAGAGCGGAGAGGTCAAAAAGACTGCAGCAAGGATGCGCCGAGAACTTGCAAAACATGGACTGATGTGAACGAGCTGAAGTGTCTGAACAGAGAGGTGCATGTAACTGCAAGCAGGTTGGATTTACAGAGGCACAAAGAGCCACTTGGCTTGGAGAAGTGAAAGTTGAATCTTCGTATTTATTCGAAGCGACATCATGTCATTAGTCATTATGTCCGTATCAGGTCGAAATTGGTATTCGCCCGCAGGAATCCGACAGAGCCAGCCGCGCATCTTAAACGCATGTGGAAATCTGTAGTTTGACGAAAAGACAACATGACATCAACATGGGACGACACCGGGCTATAGGAATCTGCGACAATCAACTCAACTTGAGTAGACTTGGGTGGCCATCCTCCGGCTTGTAATTCGGAATGAAGAAGAGGGGACACCAACGGGCTTTGAGGACCGACCCTTCCCATGGCCTCTTGTCACGCAAGTAGTCCGGCCCACGAACCTGAACCAGAAGAAAGATCGAGGAGGTCAAGCTCGCAGCTTCAGACTGACCGGGCCTTGATTCCCGCACCATCAGCTTGGTCCCAACCTTGCAGTCAACTACGCATGCTTTGAGAAATAGCGGCATCCGTTGCCCGCATTCCTCAGTGGCCCTCTATTTATTGTCGCTCTTTGAATTTTGCACTGGCAGAAAACTTGGCCTAGTTGGCCATAGACGAAGCTGAATTGGGTCATAACATGTCATGCAGAGTCACACATATGCTCATACGGTTGATCGCGTTTGAGGCGATGCCCCTGCCCGCTTTCCTACAAGATCCTTCGAGACCGAGTTACGAACAACAATGACGTACGGCCACGTGTATGCTGCTCGGGAACTACCTGAACTCAAAGCAGAAGCCGTCACCCATAATGACTACATGTAAAATGTTTGCATGTATGGCCACATGCGTGAATATTGATGTGTGGACTATGCTTGCACGCACACCTGTGATTTTGCTCTGTGCAGACGCCCTGGGATCGCAGAGGCTCCGGCAGTGCTTCTGTGCCGAGTACCGGCGACGTGGAAGGCCGTCTTCCTGTGTGTGGGCTTGGCATCCATGTCCAACCACTGTCTGTTTCTTGCTGTGCACAAGCGGCATTCTAAAATTGCGCTCTCTCTCTCTCTCTCTCTGTGTGTGTGTGCGGCCTCATCCCCGGAACTGCTGGCCCGGGTAGAAGAGCACAAGGCTGGGCACAGCTTTGCTGGGGGGAACGCGAACCTGGCCGGAACTTTGCATGAGCAACAAGAGGGCCAAGCGAAATCCAGGAGTTACACTTATCTGCAGGCAAGTGACGAGTCAAACTCACGTTGCTCATACTCTTGCCAGAAGTCATCATCTTCCTGCCGACAGCACGCAGAGATACGCAGAGACTGCATAAATGAAAATGAGTCTCATGTCAATGTCCGCCAATGTTTGGGTATCGAAGTCCTCGGAAGAGGCCTCTGACGACTCAGCAGCTTCTTGGGTGGCGGACGAATGGCAGCAGCAACAGCAGCAGCACCAGCGCCGTCGCCTTCACACGGTCACAGGCAGCAAAGGTCGAAGGGCTAGCACGACAATCAAACACTTTTCATCGTGGCCTGGGTGCCATCGGAAACTCACATTGCTTCCGGCTCACTATTGCACACGACTGTGTCTTCTACATTACTGCCAACCACAGCATTCATTGCCACTGTTGATTGAATACACATGGCGGTGGTTCTCGATTCACCCACATAGACACAACCCTGCTCCGGAACAAGTCAAGTGCTAAGTATGATTTTGACTACCTAGGCCCTTGTATGACACGGGCGTGTGGGCGGTAGCACAACATTGAGCAATCACATCCAGTGTGGAGCTGCAAGCCGACGGCGCACAACATGCCATGATGTGCTCTGCCACGGAACACTTGCGCTGAACAAGAACTCGACCTGACATGGTGCAGCCCCGACTTGGCACAAAGCCAGAGGAAGGACCATCCACTTGTAATCAACGACATACATGCCGAAGATGAGAATCCTCGGCGCGACGCTGATGCGAAGAAAATTCAGAAGGCATGTCTCAAACATATCGCACGACCGTAATAACCGCCCGACAATTCTGTTGTCAATGATTGCTGAATCCGCGAAGGAAAAAGACGAGGACTTTGCTGCTGGTGGGCAGCAGCGCAGAAGCTAGGTCTCGGGCCAAGCTGAGCTCAGCAACATGGCCCAGCTGAACAAGAAGTTTGGACCTGAGGTGTGTATACTCTTGGGGAATGTGGGTGCTGCATAGTTAGTTGGTCGGTACCAAGCTTACCAAACGAGTGTTGTTCGTTGTTCTTCGAACGAGTCAACAACAGCCGGCGACCTAGCCGTCGTGGGGAAAAGCTGCATGGGCTCATCCTTCCAAACTGCTTCCGTCGCACACCGGATCTGAACTTTACGCCCCAAACCTGAGCAAGCATTTGCTGAATTCATGCGCCGTAAAACATCATGAGTCTTCCAGCGATGATGGAACGTGGCTGAAAAGACTGTACTCTGACGGCTAAACAACTGAACTTCGTCATTGTCCGCAAGAGAAAGGCGCTCAACTCCGCTGGTACGTAATGGCTTGCACTGCACCCACAGCGTTTGAGCCGTTTCCTCCCAACAAACGATGCGGCCGGTGCCAGTAGTTGATGATGTTACTGACGAGGATACTGCCTGCGGACTCGCTGCCGCTTCTACGGCCTCTTGGGTCGGTGGCCTGAACCGCAAGCTGTTTGGGTTTTCATGACCCAAACCCGGGTTGCATGAAAGCTCAGAGATTTTCTTTGAAGTTTGACGTAACCCGGGTTTCTGCCATGCAACCCCCTGGCTCGTTGCTCTGATGTTTCGTGCCTTTCAGCTGGGCTCGTAGAACCAGCGCCGGGACATCACATGAGCAAGTGCAAGTATGATCGGGTTTCGGGGGCTGCAGCGGAGAGTTTCGGGCTTCCAGGATTCCAGATTTGAAAGAGATTGATCCCCTCTCCATGCGGCGCGTAGAGTCGCGACACTCTCCCAATACTGAAAACCCTCGCACTCGCTCGTGCGATGTTCCAAGCATTCCTGGAGAGTCCTCGGCAGCGCTGTTATGAGTTCTTGATTCCTTGGTCCTATCCCGCTGGGGTCGCGGATGCTTCCGGCCTCTCTTGCCTTGAGCCGCACCAACCACGTGGGCCCGCATGCAACAAAGCCGGGCCAAGGCGGCCATCAGGTGGTCGGAGAAGGGCGACATGGTGTGTTCAACTAAGTGTGCCAGATTTCTCCAAGAGTGCTGTCTAGAGGAGCAGTGTGAAATTGTAGATACAGGCTCTTCGGCATGTAACTTCTGCTGCTCCCTATTGTGTGCATTTCCGAAACCAACCCATGAGCAGCAGTCTCCTGTGGTCCTGAGGGGGGAAGCAAGGCAAAAGCTGGGTCCGGGGCTAATTCGACATCTTGGGTCGATGGTCAAGATGAAACTGGGCACATAGGATGCGTTGCAACTGCCGGCAAGATTTGCACAATCCCCTGCTCCCTCCAGATGCTTGGCCCTGGACAAATGATTTACGAAGTTGTCCTCACCTGGGGCCGATTCAGACAGCAGATCCGTTGCCCTATTTTGTGATAATGCCACAAGTCTACCACTAGCCCACCCATTCACCAATCATGCCTGCATTCCGTCTACGATTCCCCCAATAGCTCACTGCTACTTCCACATTATCTCAACCAGTATGGAACAAGCGATCGCCTCATTTATATTGGAAAAGTGAGTTTTCCCATTCCTCCCCCTTACATCACTAGTGCTGCCCCAATAGCGCAAACCCAAATAGCAAAGCGATTACCTCATCCATTAACCCAAAGGTGGTGTGATCATCCCGAAATGGGTCAATGGTTCCCTCAGTTTGCAGCAATAATATGATTACAAGTATGAGGCACCTCCGAGTGATCCACTGCCGCAAACAAATTGGTCTTCCGATTGCTTGCTACTCATATCCTTGACCTCATTGCCAGGCTGAGTAAAGATCAAAAACATTCTGCAGAAACTCATCATAGCAACTGCTGTGGCTTTCAACACACTAACCGTTTCTGACTGATTTACGTCCTGCACTTTGTGTTTATGACTACACCGTTTATTCTCTTTCCTCCTCTCCCCGGCTCTGGCTACAATCGGCTACAACTTGCAAATAGTTTGTTATGCTTACTGTATCCGAACGCTTCGACTGCCTTGTGAATGTGAGTGCATGACACAAACTCAAGCTGAGAGCTGGGCAAACGCGGGCCACGGTGGCCATTCCAACAATAACCAAGACGAGACTAAGGCAAACTCTGAACCTGGCACACGAAAGGCAGTCCGCAGCTCTTTAGGGCCAGCTCTCTGTCAGCAGTTGACTGCTTCTCTTGGACATTTCCGACAGTCAGAACTGAAACACGTTCCCAATGGCATGCCCGCAGCACACTGGAAAGCTACAAAGGAAATAGTCCCGCGAGAACGTGGCGGGGTCCTTGGCAACAAACATGCGTTGCTGAGCAGGAAGGGCAAGACACCATTCTATTGGACCGTGTGGATGAACTCAGATCCAGGCTTTGGCGGGCAACGCCATCAGCACGATTATCGCCAGCACAAGCGCCAAGGACAACCTCACAGAGAGATGTCTGTTGTTGGTTTGTGGCCACTTTACAAGACCGAGAGAGGCAGGGATCCACGAAACCTTGCCGGGGTACTTCGAGAACAACCATCGCAGAATCTCAACCGACTGAAGACCTCCAATAGTACTCTAGATGGTGCACATCTCCAGAGTTTTCTGATCTTGAAGCCTTTTGCCGAAACGCCCGCAAGACTCGCATGTCGAAGTTGTCATGCCATTTCTACTGACTTTACAACAATTGCTCCGGCATGCCCGGCCTGAAGTTGGTCCGGACAAGGGGTGTTTACCTCTGTCCAAAACGGAAAAGTCACGGGGCCCTGGCCCAATGAAGAAAAAGAGTAGCCGTTCAGCTCGCAAGGCGGGGCCCTGGAGAACAAAGGGAGCTAAGGATGACTGTAGGATGTCAGGGTGTAGTCGGGAGCATGACCGAGAGTAAAGTGACGGACCTTCGTGGAATCACGAAGACACGGTCTGTGACCTTCCTGCTTATCCGCAACTTCTCTGCGGATTTCGCGAGGGAGTCTCCTTCCTCGAGTCGTTAAGTGAATGGCTCCCGTTTTGGAGCCCAGGGAGCTTGAGGTGCGGGTGAAATGGTAGGATGCAGCGAGCGACCGCCGCGACGACCGTGCGAAAGGCTGTGCGTGGCGAGGACCCAGCGTGCCATGCCAGCATTGTAATTGCGTAGGACACGATGGGGTTCTGCGAACCCTCGCCACCTCAAATCAAGCCGCCAGAAAAAGAAAAAAAACACGACAGTCCTATGCGAAGAACGAGAACAGTCATCTGCAAAAGGCGGCAGGTATGTCGATATCCGCTATTCTGATCAAGCTCCATGGAAGCTAGCTGGCAACAGCATGATGTACCAGCAGCCCTTATTCAAGAGGCAAGAACCCCGTGGGCCAAACGTCCCTGTTTTGCTCCTGCCTGGAGGCCGGCCGTAGTCGCAGAACGCTTCCCAAGGCCTGGTCTCCGCCCTCGAAACTGCTTGAGATCCCTGGTAATGTCCATCACTGTGTTGCATGCAGAAAAACACGGCGAAAGTCCAGTAGACATTTAATCCAACTAAAAGGTACTAGCAAACCAGTGATAAGTTAAGTACTAAGTGTTAGACTCGGTCGCAAGAAGCATCATCACCTTCACCGAAGAATAGCAGCAGTGACCATGCATGATCTCCTAAAGAAACTTGTAGTACAGATCGGTAGCAAGCAAGTGCGACGATAATTCTACCTACAATCTCCATGGTAGTTCCTTTTGGGGTACACGACTCTAGATATGCAACTTGCTAAACCAAAAGACGAACTACAGTGGACGGAGACTAGAGGTCGAACACGGGGCAGCCGGACCGGGGTCCGAGCCGGCGGCCAAAAGCGCGACCTGTAACGTCCAAGTCTCGGTTTCCGTTTGAGGCCTTTTTCCATTCGCGGTAGTCAGACTTTAAGAACTCCCATGTTGGAGTTTTCAGGCGCTTTGGGTCTGGGGCTTAGGGTTAAGTATGATTGTCCCCCTGTTTTGTCCTTGCCGTAAAAGCCTATTCAGACGCTCGGCATCTTGGCATCTTACGGTTCTGACTAACAGGAACCTATGACAGCTAGGCTTTCTAAATGCTCCGATGTATTGACTCGAACAACAGGACCGGCGTCTTGACGCATCTGTTGCGGACTTGTTTTCACCTGACAGGCAGTCTTTGTAAGGATGTGTAGCACTCTTGCGAGTTGCCACAAAACCTCGACAATTTAAAATCGGATGGTGTCCTTTGCACCTCTCGCTTCGCGTCTGCTGAGGCACTTCACAGGAGAGAAGACTTCTGACTTAACTGAACAATCCCCCAACCTGTGACACAACAAAAGTGCCCCGAGACATGGCCGCTGAGACGGATCCAGTCTGCGTGCTCAGAAGTGGCGACGGCCCCGTCCACTCGCCTTACGCTCGTTGCTTGGCCTTGTACATGGATTGAACCAATGATTGAACAAATGCAAACGGCATACTCTTCGCTCGGATTTCCACTTGTACTACTGCCCAGTACTATCACCATCGCCGAGTCTGAGGCCTGCGCAGCTGCTTCTTTCTGAAGTGCCCTGCTTCAGATGCGCAGAAGCTCAAGGCACCCGCTGGCATCGTGGCACCACTCGGACCGACTGGCATGCGACACAGTTGGCGCAGCGCCTGAAGACCTCATCCTGGCCGGCTTTGATCGCACGGGTGATGAAGGTCCTACGCAGGTGGAGGCATCGCTCTCGGTCTCGGCTCCATGCCTGAGATCCGGCCTGAGAACGGCTTCTGTGACCGAATCTGGCACCGGAAACCATCCAGGCCTGAGTCTGCACAGGAAGCGCAGAAAAAGACTGCCGGCCGCTGCGAGGACAGGAAGGCCCCGCGCAAATAGTACTTGAACCGCTGGAGGGCCTGGCCACGGTTCGTCGGGGCCAACAGAAGAGACAAAGACGTAGACAGTCCTGACCTTGTCAGGCCTACGACCAGAAGAACGACTGAAAAAAGCAACCCACGGCTCACCTGTGCATCTACGATCCAACAGGAAAGGCATTCTGCGTGGAGCACGCCTGCTGCACTATGCGCAGGTCGTCCGATCGCGGATCATCTTGCCAACGAAGCACGATCTGGCCACTCAGAAGACCATTTAGGAAGCTCTAGCTACTCGCTGCCTGCCTCCGCGTTAGCCTCGAGCAGCTTATCCAAGTCCTCCCAGTTCAAGGGATGGGGCAAACCCGTGGAAGGTCGACAGATCCCTGAACCACCTTCTTCGAGCCCTTTCTCAAAATCGCTGCAAGTACCAGGAGCTGCCTTCTGGTACTCGACGCTGCCTGTTCTCTTGTCCCGCAGACCCGGGTTGATCTCCAAGACCTGGTAGAGAGTTGTGGTCCAATGCTTCGAGATATTCCCCAACATCCCAAGCTAGCATCCAACCCCAACCACCATCCACCTGGCCTGCACCTCGGCCCTCTGCGGCTGGAGGCTGATCCGGACTGTCATGCGCACCTGGGGTGTGAGGTCTCTAGACTTTCGGTTCACATGATTGGGGTCTGAGTCCTGCTCGACTGAGATGCGGGAGAACTCAGTCTTGAATACATGGATCCCTTTCAAAAAAAGCTGCACGAATGGGAACGAATAGTTATGACAATGTAGGTATTGACGACATTACGAACTTACATGTGTTAAAACTCGCATCTATTTGGGAGCTACAGTACATCAGGTCCCAGCACACTTTCGACTTAATCAAAGCTGAGAAGGCGCCTGGGTGCTGTAGGGGCCGATCTCCAGAGCAGGAAAGTACAAGTAGATCAAACCATCTTCAGAGGCCGGCTCCGTCCTCTCCACGCCGTTAAACAGGATCTCGGCCGCACGCTCCTCCAAGAGCTGCTCGATCCATTGAGCATCGCATTTCGACAGCTCCTCCCTCGTCGAGTTCTCTACCACCACACTCACGGAGCGAGCAGCACAGGCAGTAGGGCCAGTAGGGTGCTTCCTGTGTTCACGGGGTATCCTTGGGTTCCTCGGCCTCAAAACCGCACATGCCACTGAGCCGGTGAAGAGGCCCAGCCCCAGCATTGCATCTCGAGATCTGCGCCCTTTTTGCCGCTGAGGCCCGACACCAGGCCTGTGGGGTGCAGAGACCCACGGCACGGCTCGTGCCGCGGCTGGGAAGGCGGCATCCATCCCAGCTGAACCGTGCGACTACTTCGGCAAACTTCGGTTATGCTGTCGGTTCCTGCCTTGCGGCTTGCCTCCGGCCTTTGTTCCCGTCCTGTGCTGCATGAAGGATCATGAAGGAACCACAAAGATGCTTGCGGGCTAGAGCCGTAAAGCTGTGGCCTGTAAGCAACAAAAACACCGAGACCCTTTTCCTTTCAACTCAGATGACTCAGTCGATTCGAATCGGGCCCTGCCTCGGGAGAGATCCCGGGCTCTGCAGATGCAGATCGATTTTGGAAGGCCTGTGGGTTTCAGAGCTGTCGGAAAGGCGCTTGAGGTGACCAAATAAGATGAGCAAGGAATTCCTCCTCCCCTCTCCGTCTCGCAAGCTATCTTGGGCATGCCTGTCGAACGCTGGCGTCCAGGGCTTCAAAAGCGCCCATGTCCGCGAAAATTGTGTTCTGGCACCGGGATCCGAAAATTCATGAGCACATCGAGGAAGCCGAGCCACCGTCCTGGCCTCGATGTTGGACGGGTATTTCAAGGCAATGCCATCTTCACGCTTCAAGATCTTGTCGTGCTTGCGCAGTATTTTGAACCTCCCGCGGTCAAAAGCTGCCATTGTGCTTTCAATCGCGAGTAAATGGTTCTTTTCTTGACCCAAGGATTTTAGCCCAAACAGGCGCACGCTGCCGCGTGGTTGAGTTCGGCGTATCCACGTAGGCGGTAGATGCCTTCCGCCAACCGCCCAAGTGCCTTCCGGGGGATCGGATGTTCGGGGAATGTCATTTGAGGGCACCCCCTTTGGACGGCGCTGTTAGATGCAGGACACGGGACGCCAAGGCAACGCCTTTCGACTGGTTGGGCAAGAGCGAAAACATCCAGCCTCCAACACGTTCAACTCCATGAACTGACTCATGGAAGCCGGCTGCGATTCCGGCGTCGAGCCTGGCAAACATGACGGCATCCATCGTCTCAATCATCTCTGAGATTCTCCGAGCATAGGATCTGTGGGCTGAAAGTGAAAGCCTAACTCGTCGCTCTTTGGTTTCCTCATTCCGTCATCGCCGCTTTGGATGACTTGCAGGGAGCTTGAAGGCTCCAGGCACCAGCCTGAGTTTCCAGGCCCGCGCGACAGCTCCGTGACAGCTCCAAGAGGGCTTCCTGCAGCAGTCAGGTCTTCAGACCGTCGACACCCTCGCCTAGCGCCGGAGAGTCATGAACGAACTACTGAGCATCCCCGGATCAGCCTTCGTCGCTGTCCTGTGGGGATTTCAAAAAGACTTTCCACAGCCCTTTCGCTCTGGGGTGAAACGGCAACGTGTCAACAACACTGCTTGCCTAACCTTCGGTTTTGCTGTAACCCGCGGGTGTCGGCCCGCATCTCCACAATGCATTACTTGACTCGCACATGGGGAAAAACAGAGCCAGGAAATGCCTTCATCTGTATCGCTACGCATCTGCGAGGAGAGAAGCAACCGGCCGTCTGCCTCCCGTCGCCAAGCAAAGTGCCAATGCACACAATGCACAATCTCCACGCTTCGAGACCTCTGTCAGCAGCCAGGTCGGCTGCAGTTCTGCCGCGCTGGTCCTGGCCATTCATCAACCGTCGCTGTCCAACTTTTCCTAATCTCTGGTGCTTGGGCGAATGGAAAGGTGGCCTGCCTTCAAGGCCAAGATCGCTCGCTTGTCCGGCGCGCCCCCTGGAGAAACAGGCTTCCCAGGCATGCACCCTTGCTGCACAAAGACCCCCTTCTTGTGCTATAAGTCTAAGCAACTAGTGAACTTCCTGCAACAGAGGGCCACCCTTTGGTGGAACTTGGGACTGAGGTTCACTGAACTGACTGGACCCTGCGCCGCACAGGACGCGACTTAAGGCCCCCACGCAGGAGGGCCTTGGCGGCTTCTTCGTGGCCACGGTAGGCGATGAGGTGCAGGGCCTTTCTGCACATTTGACATGGCGTGATGAAGAAAAAAGCGCCAAATGCAAATGAGTTCCTGAGCCCAGGGCCGAGAAGCCGCTCCATTTATCCAGGCAATCCTTCAGGCGTATGGCCCGCTCCGGGTCGGCCTCCAACCTCCATGCACAGATGCACAGAAGGTCCACAAGGAGTGTCCAACACATCTTGCTATGGGCCCCGAGCAAAGCTTCCACAACCTCGGCTTGCCCCTTCTCACAGGCAAGCTGCAGCCTGGGCGAGAGATGCAGAAAAACTTGTGGCAGCACCGGGTATGGCTTCACTCACTGCCGCACTGGTGAGATGAGGCCGGTGCGGTGTAAATCCGCCAGACTTGTCCTTCGAGTTTTGGTTTTGGCCAACATGTTTCAGGCCAGTCGCATCAATGAGGCGTTCCCAAACCTTGCGAAAACACTAGACCTCGCGCAATAACCCTCCATAGCTTGAGACCCATCCAGCGAAATCCTTGGCTGCCAGCAGCATCGCCGGGCTGGGAGCCATCCTCAGAGATCCAGAAAAAGCGGAGGAGTCGAGGCTCTGCAAATCTCTGGAAGCTTCTTGAGTCTTGGGCGTCTTGTGAAATTATTGAGTTCTTTAGTGAATGCCTCTGCCGGGACGCACAGATTAGGAGTTTTTGTGTTTCAAGGACCCCGGCTCGAGCAGAACTTTGCAGAGCGCAGCGTGACCCGCTGCAGCTGCCAGGTGCAAGGCCTCACTGCACAGCTCAATCCACAGCGTCTATTCACTCAGTTAGCAGGCTCGAGCTTCCGCAAGGAAGGGGTCAGAAGCTCTGGTTGGTGGCTGCTGGAGCCGAGGACCCGGCAGTCTGTCCCGCAAAGCGCTCTTGTGCCATGAGGAGACGCTCCAGCTCTGGAGCATGCTGGAGCCTCAGCTGGATGATCCCGCATGCCGCATGCCCATGGAGTCGACTCTGCATTAACAGACGCGGATGCAAAGCCTCTGCTCGACTTTCCCTGTGACGCGTGAGGTCACAAGATGTAAACGCAGCTGAACTAAGGGCCCTTGCAACAAGGGCTTCAAGATTTAAAGTCTGTGCGTAAGGCGAGAGGCGAATGCCGACGAGCACGAAAAGCACCCCAAGCTTCGATAAAAGCAGGCTCCAAAGTACCCGAGATGGCGAAGAAGACACAAGAGCCAGAGTCTAGCAATTCAAGCGCCGTTCCTATCCAGATGAACCGAAAAAGCTATATCATATCATATCATCTTACTTCATCTTATCTTACATTGTAGCATATTCCCGGTTTTGGGCTCCCGGCAGAGCCCGCACGGTTTCCAGGTGGCCTCGCCTCGTGAAGACAAAGCACTCCTTCGCTTGGCTCCCTCTTCACCTAACTCTGGATACTAGGAATACGAATACACATGACAACAATAATTCATAAGAATAGTAACAATAACAGTTGTAATGATCAGAGTCATAATGAATAGCTACTAGGTACGTTATGTAACTTTAATAGTAAGGTTCCCTCTTCAAAGAACATACCGCAGATGGAACTGCAGAGACACTCCTGTTCACTACTGTTACCGGTCTGTCTCAGACCAAAAGCAAAACCACGAGCACCTATCTTTACGGATCCACAAGATATCGAACGCTTGAGTCGCGCACTCCGCTGCAAGATGCAGAGCTGTGTAGCGGCCTCACTCTTTGAACGTTGGAACTCTCCTAGCCTGACTTACAGCAACATGTTCACAAGGACGTGGTGAAATGTGATTGGTTGGCTTTGATTCCAGGCGGGGAACTGGATTCCTTTGCTCAAGCTCTTGGGAGGAAAGACGTGTGCTAAATGACTGGCATGACATAACGTTCTAGTTTAACAGTTTCTCAGGCATCGGAGACTAAGAGGCCAATGTAAGCCAGATACGAGCACCACCGGATCGACTGGATGCCTGGAATACTTAGCATCAGGAAACCAACAGGAGACTGCGATACGTTCATGTACTTCGCCGTGAATCACTTTCAGTGAGACGGGTATCATGATGACACACCGCAAACCGGAGCTGATTGCAGCTGAGAGGGACTAGAGGAACCAATATGTAAGTTAGAAGAAGGCAATTAACCTTGATGCACAACATCACCAGGTGAAAGAAGCTGGGCCATCCGCCACAACGATCCGTTGCTAAGGAAGTCTCTGCATACGGGCAGGCTTTCAGCAGCGCGTGAACCTGTGGTAGCTTCACTCAATGAAATGGCATCCACTCCTTCACTAGCGGAGCCGTGAATCGGGGGGCAAGGAAGGCACAAATGATCAGAGAGACAACATTCTCCTTGCATCCCTAGAAATCGGAGTATGAGGTGGCGGGACGGAGGTGGCGGGACGTGTTAAGAGATCGACAAGAGTAGGCGCCGTGCGGCTTGACTGTGGCCACACTCCGCGGCCATGTGCAATGCCGTTTGCCCTGCCGAGAACGAGATAATCGTCAGCATAAGTTACCTCATGTAATGTATGGCCATGAGCACGGATGGCACTTGACAACACTTGCCTCCAAAGTATCAACCTCTTGCCGTTTACTGTGGGACCGAAGCGGTATTCTAAGCTGTAGTAGTAATTGTAACCATGCGAATCCATGGTAAGTACTGTTCACAGCAGCATTGCATTATCGTGCATCGACCCTTTCAGGCGGTCCTGTGATGCGCTCCCTGGCCGCTAAGAGGCCGCTTGTGTCGCCCACAAGGCTCAGAAGCCTTTGCACCTCGCACGAAACTTCTCAAAGTGGTTGTTAATCTAAAATCCTTCATCCCGGATTCATCCCGGAATGACCTTCTTCACGAATAAGAAGTAACTTTCGCGCCACAATCGCGGAACTTTCGCGAAGACATATTTACATACCTTTGCAAGTTAGAACCCTGAGTCGTGAGCTACAAGATTCTCGATGACAAGTTGTTACGGGAATTAGAAATAAGAGCTTCTGGCAGGCTTGTTAGGGGTTTCCGGGCTGTGTGAAAGCCACAATAGGTGGAAAGGGCTGGTTCAGGCCGTCTTAAGGGTTGGATTTTTAAAGTTTCCTGAAAGTTTCTCGATTGCAAAGCTTTTGGGGGCCGAACTAATTGAGAGTTTCTGGGAGCCTTTCGTACCGGCTTCGGGGCTTCTGCAGGGCTGCTTAAGGTTGTCGGATTGCTGACGATGTCCACCGGGGGGTGGGGGTGATCTGGCAACGTCGACTTTAACGTCACTTACGCGGAACTTACGCGCTAAACCCTGCACGGGAACCTATTTGGGGGGTTTGTCGTTGCTTAATGTTGCTTACACTTAGGACCGACGGCGCTACGAGGCGGTGCAACCGGAGCAGTACAACAGGCAGGACGTAAGAGGTGGGAGGCAGTAGCCGTCGGCGGTGGGTCGTACAAGGT